GGACATGTGTCAATACATTAAGTGGTGGATGACTCCATAAGGAAACCATCCAATGGCTCCATAGAATTTTATATATATATATATATATATATATATATATATATATATTGTTATGTTTCTAATATAGAACAAAAATCCTATACTAATAATTTGCCTTAAAAAATCTCAAATTGGATAGAAAAAACATAAACAATAATTAGTTAAAATTTTTTTATTATAAAATTTGTTTGAAAACGTATTTCGACTCAAATCGAATATGTTTGAATATTTTAAAGGAACTGGGTACGAATCAAAAAATGATTTTGTATTCAATTCAATATGAATTCGAATCCGTGAATATTTTAACGAATCTGAATCAAATGACATAGGATTTAGTGATCGAAAAGTAGTGATTGATTTTTTTTGTTCTTTCTTAATTTATAATAATGATCTAATTTATAAAAAGTGCTATATTTATATACCCAAAATGGAATAGAGGACGGAGAGACGATTATCTTCAAATGTATCGGTTCATGATGCATGTTTCATGTAATGTTTTTGATAAACTTGGATCCATAACTTCCACTTCTGAACGACGACAGTATAATGGTCGACATGATTTATGATGCGTTATTTGAATTGAAATTATCATTACTCAAAATTAAACATTCTATTGGTCTAAATTGAATGTTATAAAACATATGTTATGGATGTTTGAAATTAAAATATTTTCTCATAAATTACAAATATTATTAAATAATTTTTGGACTAAAACACTAATAGGATGTTTCCAAAAATACATATAATCATGGTATATTCATGCGTTTTTTACCAAATAAAACTTATCGGTACTATTCACCAAAACTCTAATCTAATTAATACAATCACATTAACATTTATCTTGTACTAAATAAAAGGATAAATTTATATTTCGTGTAAATCAATAACAAGGCATTCACGAGATTATTGGAATTCAAAATCTAAAATGATTTCATACCATATCAATACATAACTATCTATTTCAATCCACTACACCACGTCTCTTATTCATGTTTCATTTTTTTTAAATGTTAAAACAAAACGATATCAACAACACTTGAATTATAATTTATTACGTTAAATCAATTATAAAAGGACAGGTGGAATACGAATCGACAAAAACTTACACATTGATATCAACTTCTTCTGGCGTGAAATACGAGTAATATTGTTGTACAATCAACACATCACTGTTGTCTTCAGAAGATTAAACAAAATGGCAAATCATGAATCGAACGATGGCGAGAAAAATTATTTCGATAAAAAATTTCACGATATGGCGTTCATTTCGTTGGAAGATGCAGAAAAATGGTACGTAAATTATGGAAGAAATAAAGGGTTCGATGTTCGCAGATCAAGCTGCAAGACTACAAAGGAAGGTGTAGTGAAGAACAGGCAATGAGAATGTTCTAGTGCAGGTTATAGAAGAAAAATTTCAGAAGGAAAACAAATAAAAAGAGAAACGCCAAACACGAGATGTGGTTGCGGGGCTACATTCCGTGTTGCACTTCACACTGAAGGGGATGTTGAATTGTACAAGGTCACCAAATTTGAAGATTCACACAATCATCAGTTGGAGAGTGCCGAAACAGGACATCGTCTGAAGTGTAATAGGTAATAGTTTTCTACACAATTACATTGCGAATATATTTGTTTTTTTATGTTATTATTATTTTTTTACGGAAATAGTTATAACAATTGTAATTTCTGTTGTAGAAAAATTACGGATGCTGAAAAAGAATTGCTGACGACAATGAATGATGCCAACATTTGAACATATCAGACCTTAAATTATATGGAAGAAATGTCCGGTGTTGGTGTACATTACAAAAAGAAGAAAAATGCATACAACTTCCTCATGAAGACAAGAATTGATACAATGCGAGCAGGTGATTTAAATATTGCACTTGCTATGCTTGAAGGTGTGAGATCAATGATGATCAATTGATAGTGGAAACCACTTGTGACGATGAAGGAGGATTGACGAAACTTTTCTGTTCGGATTGGTTTTTTGCAATCATCATATTCGCTTTTTGGTGATGTTCTCATTTTTTACAGCACATACAAGACTAACACATACAAATTCCCTTTGGTCATATTTTCGAGAATAGATAACCACCTAAATAGCACAATTTTTGGTGGAGCGTTGCTGCATAATGAGACATCTGAATCGTACGTATGGTTGCTGACTACATTTATTGCTACAATGAAAGGGAAGATGCCGGCCACCGTCGTCACGGATCAAGATGAGGCCATGCGTTCCGCGATAAAGAAGGTCTTACCACACGCTATACACAGGCTATGTGCATGGCATCTGCAGAAAAATTGTGTACAGCGAGTGAAAGTGCAAGAATTTTGCAAAATCATGGGGAAATTCCAAATGAAAACTTGAACTCTGGAGGAGTTTGAAAGTGAAAGGGAATTACAAACAGTAGCTCATGGTGTAGCAGACAACCAGTGGGTTAAAGATACATATAAACGGAGACATCAATGGTGTGACGCTAATCTTCGGGGGAATTTTATGGGGATGACCCAAACAACACAAAGAGTCGAATCTTTGAATGCACTCTTCAAGAATGAGGGTCAATCGAGTAGCACAATTACAGAGCTGCTTAAAACTTTCCTTCGGATCGTTCAGTCCTTGCGGTCCACTTTTCTCAGAAGCAAGAAGACTCGGAGATGAATCCCTCAAATATTCCTCAAGCAGCACCACTTCACAGGATTCAAGTAAAACTTGCTGAAGTTTATACATGCTCAGTTTTTGTAAAAGTTCGAAGGAAAATTGATGATGAGCACAACAATATTTTATTTGAGAAGAATATTTATGACGGTGGGTTAACTGTCTTCAAAATGGAAAAATATGGTTCACCGTAACGAAGGCTGAGGTCGGTGGAAGTAAATTTAAATAAAGGCAAAATTATATGTGATTGTAAAATGTTGGAAACCGATGGCCTGCCATGTTGTCACCTGTTTACTGCGCTGAAGAACTTGCATGTTCAGGGGGTGTAGTTTTATTTACCGGAGAAGAATCAAAAGATTCGAACATCGGGTCGTGTTCTCAAGGAAGGTTAGCCGGACTATTTTGTATGTTTATTCGATCACAAAAACGAAAATGTTCCTAAACACTCTAATTCGATTTGTAGGTTTTGATTATAAACTAATAAAATGGAAATGAGCTATTTAAATGTAGCAACTAAAAAAAAAATACAATTCAAGAAGATAAGTGTAGTTCCAAATATAAATAAACAAGCTACAATGATGAAGATAATTCCAAGAGATGTAAATAGCTAGGGTATCGGGGACAATCGCCTTCGGTTTTACATAAATTTGACGGCAGTCAACCACTCGGTTAAAAGGCTCGATTAACTAACTCATTTAGCGGTTTATCCTCACTAACTCTCGTAATATGCGGAAAAACATAAAAGAGTAAATTAATGAGACAATTAACACATAGACAATACGTTTCCGGACATGTCTACTCTAAACGAGCCAATTTCTACCAATTTCGCTCCTCTCGGTTTTGAAATCAATTGTATAGATTAAAGTGGTGATCAAGCATTCAATCATAAAATGAGTAAAACTCGCAAAGATTGAGTAATTGACATGCTCATAAACAAGAACGAATCAAAACAATCATCCCCTAACCCTAGCTAGATGATTAGTTGTTCATAATAAGTTTATCATAAACATTCACATTAGAACAAGCCATCTTTGACATAGATAAAATGAAATAGATAACTTACTTGTAATGTGAAATCCACAAGAGCAAATGCAAACTTAATGTTCCATACAACAATGTTCTCCAAAACCAAATACAAACTCCAAAAACAAACATAGGAAAAGTAGAATAAAAATGGTGAAAAGAAGTAAAATAATGGGAAAGAAGATGAAATGTGCCTTCCATGCTCAAGAGAGCATGTTCTTATAGCCCCCAATCCCCATTTTCAGGTGAGTTTTGTCCCCTAAGTGCTCCACTACCGACCCTTTCCAACTCATGCCATGTTTGAAGGGAAAAGAAATTCTGAGTTGCTGCCAGCCTGGGTTAGCGGCGCTAACCCTCCATAGCGCCGCTATGGCGCCGGGGTTAGCGGCGCTAACCAGCCTTAGCACCGTTAAGGTCTGAATGCCCTCAGCCTCTGGCTTCGTTAACATTTGATAGCGCCACTAAGGAGCTAGGCATAGCGGCGCTAAGCCTCCTTAGCGGCGCTAAGCTCCCTGAAACTCCACTTTCTGATTTTTCGAGCCCGTTTCACTCGGCTAGCTTGTCTCGGGTACTTTTCGAGCCCTAAACCCTAAACCCTAAACAACCTAAAATGGGGAAAACGGCCAATAAAATGCCAATAAAAATAACAACAAAAATAGGAAAAACAACTTCCCCACACTAAAACCTTTGTTCGTCCCGAACAAAAAGAAAAAGAAAACACACAAATGCGCAAAGATAATGGTTTCAAGCAAAACTAATCTCAAACGAATCAATTAAACCAAGAAGAATTCAAATGATCACAAGAATACACCTCAACTAATAGCTTGGTTATTTTGAAAAACATAGACTCTCAAGTGCAATATCATATATGCCTCACTCAATTTCTTTTCGCAAATATCAATGGGTACGCTCAAATTGGTCATCGATCGAATCAATCATAAATTTTCCTATCGTCCAACTCTTACTCTAAAACAATCAAATCTATGCAATAGTGAATCAAGAGGACCTTTTAGGGATGTAAGTAGGCTCTTTGGATCGGGTCGGATAAATATAGGGTAAGTGGCTAAATAAAAATCGAATTTGCTTCATTCCCTCACCTAACCATGAGCATAAACTTTCCCGGTTGTCAAACATCAACTGTTTTCTCCCATATTTTCAAGACCAATATGCTATCCTCATTATTCACAATTGTTTTATAATCACAACCTTAGGATATTCATTTTCCCTTTGGTTTCATTTAGATTTTATATATATATCATCAATATATACAACACCAATACTAATCACCTCCAATTCTCCACAATACCATTCGCAACTCAAAATATCATCATCACGAGGTTATTAATAAAGAAAAAACNATCATCAATATATACAACACCGATACTAATCACCTCCAATTCTCCACAATACCATTCGCAACTGAAAATATCATCATCACGAGGTTATTAATGAAGAAATAACAAATACGGCTCAAAGGGGATGACTAGCGGATATTTTTTACAAAAGATAAGGGTAATACAAAAAAAATGCTTCAATCATATTCACATCACACAAATTCGACTATTCATTTCAAAATAGACTCAAGGCAAATCCTAATTGACAACAATTTAGACCAATATCTCACAAGAAAAGAAACGAACATGGCTCAAAACTCACACGGAAAAATATTTGTCAAACAAAACAACCAAGCATTTCATCGAGATATATCACTTATTAACATCGTCGCAAATTCTTAACTTAATCAACCGTTATTGACTAATCCCACAATTTACCAATAGTCCAAACTCATAAAGACACAACAAACATAATCCTACAAACTAAACCGGTCCATCAAGCAAGAGAAATGAAATAAAAACAATCCTAAGAGAAAACTACACCAGGTAAATCATATAGTCACGTAAAACACGCAAAAACTCCCCCACACTTAGAATGAGACAATGCCCTCATTGTCAATCTGAAGTATAAGAAAGTTAACTACACAATCAACCGACTCGAAAATAAAATGAAATGTACAAAAAGAAAAAGAAAGGGAAAGAAAGACGTACAAAGCACAGTGATAAATCACTATGCGTCCGATGGTAGAGGTTGTGAAGGTGGTGGCTGAGAAGGGTCGCTGCTCCCGGCACTCCAACGGGTATCCCACTGGCTGAAATGGGAATCCCAAGTGGTCCACTGTTGGTATTGCCGATTCGTCCAAGTATCCCATCTGCCGTCATGAGCTGTCCAGTGGGCGTCGTTGGTCTGGACAAACTCATTCCACTGACGAGTCTGTTCCGCCCACTGCTCGTCATTGGCTTTCACGAATGATGTCCAACGGGCCTTGTTCTGAGCCTCATACTCGGTAAACCAAGCTGGAGCAGTCGAATGAGAAGACGCACCCGCGTACTCGTCCCCCAACGGAAGAGGCTGGATGGTGTCATCAGCAGGGTGTACGTTGGCTTCGTCATCATCCCCGTCACCGTTGTGAGTATCTACTGGATCGGGACCGGTTGAAGTACCAGCTATTGAAGGATGGGGCCAGGGCAAACCATTCGCCTTACAATATGCCTCATAAGCTTTCCACTTGTAGACGTGGCGTGCATGTGTGTTGTCGTCAAGGAAATCATCATGGTGGAGATCCCTCTCCGAAAACCATTTGGCGAGGTATTTGGGCTCGTCAACCGGTACTCCAAAATGATCAGCCAACTTTGTCACCACATGCCCCAAAGTCGGACCACGTCTCGTATCATTGCATATGTCATAGAGGGACTCCTTGAGGTACTGGAGCATGGTAACTGGTTTGTCGTTCGTGATCAATGACAGAATGAACACTTGCTCCGCACTCACCTTGTTGGGCTCTTTCTTCCCAAAGATCATGTGAGAGATGTACTGTAGAATCACCACATGAGCCAAGTTGGTAATTAAACCCGACGATGCTCCCTGCTTATTGTATTTTTCGCACGGGGAAATTTGTGCCCAATGTGGATCGACCTGAAATCCTTGGGGACTGAGACATGTCGGAATGGTGGGATCAAATTTGTAGACGAGCCTCTGATAGTCCGTGATCTCGTCCGTAGAACAAACTTTGAAAGGGACACCGTGGAGTTGAGCGAAGTTTTGTACATCGGCTGTCGGGTCAGGATTAGCGCTCGTGGAGGCAGCCGCCTTGGATTTCAAAGTCGCGGGAGCCTTTATCTTCGATCGAGTGCCTGCTCCTGCCATCGTTCTTGGTTCGAGAATTTTATCAAACACGTATCGTGCGGGATTGAGCTTGAAAATGGCGGCAGCAGTTTGAAATGGTTCGACCTTGGAGTAGGCCTTCTCTTGCCTCAACACGCACCATATCAAAGGTATGGAAAGCTATCGGTACCTTTTAAAGTAAATTTAATAGCAATTGTGAGCTAGGGTTGGAGGAGCTCGTGATGGCTGAAGGAGATGAGTGGGGGCAGAGTGGATGGTAGGTGGTGGTCGACGAAGCAGTCAGTAGTGGACTCAGCAGGTGAGTGAATGGTGGTGGTTGAGGGAGCAAGTCGGTTGGTCGAAAATTGGGATGGTTGTAGCTTGTTCGAATGTGGCTGAAGGGAGAGATGAGCGCGTTGGTGGTTGATTGGCAGTGGCTGGAGAGTGTCGATGGGAGGTCGCCGGAGGTTGGTGGTCGAATTTTTCGCTGGAGATGAAGAGTGAAGGTCGGTGGTCGGATTGGTGTCGCGGAGGATGAGTGCTCGAGAGATTGTTGTTTGTGTGAGAACTGAAGGACCGATGTCGATTTTTTTATAAGGTCTGGGGGGTTAGCGCCACTAACAAAAAAAGCCCGGCACTCTCTGGCTTCGCCATCTTTCGATAGCGCCGCTAACATTCGCGCCTTAGCGGCGCTAACCTTCGATTTTTCATTTGGGGCTGTTTAAATCGGGAGGTTCGCGGCCTGCCGGATGGTCTCGCGACCCGCGGTGAAGAGATGTACCGCGGCCGCGACTTCAAAGAGCATAAAACAAATTTCTGACCTCGCTGGTCGTGGCCGACCTCGCGTCCCGCGGCGAAGAAACCTTCCGCGGCCGCAACCTTCCCCACGGCCGCGACTTGAAAGAACAGAAAAACTGAGGCGTTTCGCGACCTGCTTCGCGACTCGCGACTAATCTCGCGTCCCGCGACGTACCTCGCGGCCCGCGGCGAGCAATTTTCGGATTTATATATATATATATAGATATATAATATGTACAAGGGTGCTCGATTTATTGCCGTGAGCTCGGCACTCTCGCGATCAAGTATACTGTGGTTAGTCGAGATTCACGGTCTCGACGCTTCGCTTCGATTTCTCCTCCAAAGTAAGGCTTGACTCTTTGTCCGTTCACAACAAATAATTCGCCGGTAGATAGGTTCCGAAGTCGGACGGCCCAGAAAGAAAGAACTTCGTCAATAACAAATGGGCCGCTCCACCGGGACTTAAGTTTTCCCGGGAATAAACAAAGTCGGGAATTGAAGAGGAGCACTTGCATGCCCGGTACCAACTCCTTCCAGATAATCCGAGCATCGTGGAGTCGTTTGATCTTGTCCTTGTAAATCTTCGAATTCTCATACGCCTCATTCCTCAATTCTTCGAGTTCCGAGAGCTGCAAAATTCGCTCTCTTCCGGCGGTATCAAGATCAAAGTTCATCTTATTGCCCAAAACGCCTTGTGCTCGATCTCAATCGGGAGGTGGCACGCTTTTCCGTAGACGAGCCGGAACGGACTCATCCCCAAAACTCCTTTGTACGCTGTCCGTTGGGCCCATAACGCATCGTCAAGTCGACTTGACCAATCCTTCTGGGACAAGTTCACTGTTTTCTCCAAAACAGTCTTGATTTGTCGGTTGCTCGTCTCGGCCTGGCCCGACGCCTGTGGATGGTATGGGTTAGCCACCTTGTGTGAAATGCTATACTGCTTCATCAGCTTCTCGAAAATACGGTTGCAAAAATGCCTCCCACCATCACTCACAATAGCCCGAGGAAATCCGAACCTACTTAGAATATGTCCTCGCAAAAACTTAATGAGCACATTAGCATCACATGTCCTTGTGGGGATCGCCTCAACCCATTTGGACACGTAATCTACTACAAGTAATATATATTCAAAACCACAAGATTTGGGAAATGGTGCCATAAAATCAATGCCCCAAACATCAAAAATTTCAATCTGAAGGTTGTTAACAAGGGGCATCTCATTTTTGGAACCAATGTTCCCAATTCGTGGACATCAGTCACAAGATTTGCAAAAAACATAAGCGTCTTTAAACAAGGTCAGCCAGAATAGACCTGACTGGAGAACCTTGAAAGCAGTCTTTCGACCACTAAAATGTCCCCCACACTGAAGCTCATGGCAGAAGGTCAGGACTCCAGTTGCACAATACCACAAGACAAATAATTCACAATATCCGCATACCAAGGGTTAGAAGTCAGTTCATTCGCATGCTCGTATGGAAAATTATCATTAATAACATGATGCTCAAGCAAGGAATGAGAATGATCAGCCCGTATAATGCGGGACAAGTGATCACCTACAACATTACGCTTTTCTATCCCGAATATCAACATCAAACTCTTGCAACAATAAAATCCACCGAATAAGCCTCGGCTTTGATTGAGTTTTATTCAAACGATACTTTAAGGCTGCATGGTCTGAATGTATTATCACTTTAGACCCTAAAATATAGGATCTAAATTTTTCAAGAGAAAAAACCACAGCTAGAAGTTCTTTTTCGGTGGTTGTGTAATTTAGTTGGGCTCCATTAAGGGTCAAACTAGCATAATAAATCACTCGAAGTAATTTATCGACTCGTTGACCCAAAACGGCTCCCACGGCAAGATTTGATGCATCACACATAATCTCAAAAGGCAAAGACCAGTCAGGAGCAATCACAACAGGAGCAGTCACAAGCTTATTTTTCAAGTCATTGAAAGCACTCAAACAAGCATTATCAAAATTGAAAGGCACATCTTGACTAAGCAAGTGACACAACGGCTGGCTAATTTTTGAAAAATCTTTTATAAATCTCCTATAGAAACCAGCATGGCCCAAAAAACTCCTAACGCCTTTCACATTCACCGGAGGGGGGAACATCAACTTTTTCTTTATCAACTTCAATCCCCCTACTAGACACCAAATGGCCTAGTACAATTCCACTCTTAACCATAAAATGACTCTTTTCCCAGCTCAAAGTTAAGTTCTATTCAATGCAACGTTCAAGGACACGAGATAAGTTATGGAGACAGTGAGAAAATGAATCACCAAAGATAGAAAGTCATCAATAAATACCTGAAGGCAATCCTCGAGCATGTCGGAAAAGATGAAGAACATGCACCTCTAAAAAGTTCCTGGTGCATTGCATAAGCTAAAGGGCATCCGCCTGAAAGCAAATGTGTCGAATGGGCATGTGAAGGTGATCTTCGGTTGGTCCTCGGGTGCTATGGCTACCTGGTAGTAACCAGAAAGTCCATCTAGGAAGCAATAGAATTGGTGGCCAGAGAGACGGTCGAGAATTTGATCGATGAATGGCAGCGGGAAATGGTCCTTCTTTGTCACGGCGTTAAGTCGCCGGTAGTCGATACACATCCTCCACCAGGTAGTGATGCGGGTGGGGATCATTTCCTTCTTCTCGTTCTCGATAACGGTGATGCCCCCTTTCTTTGGCACCACATGAATGGGGCTAACCCACTCACTATCGGCAACCGGAAAAATAATCCCCTCCGAGTGGAGCTTGAGGATCTCCGTCTTCACAACCTCCATCATGTTAGGGTTAAGCCGCTGTTGGCTATCCCGAAAGGGTTTGGCACCTTCTTCTAAGACGATGCGGTGCATACATGTGAAGGGACTTATGCCTTTGAGGTCTCTAAGGCTCCACCCGATGGCTTTATGGTTCTTCCGAAGCACTTCAAGTAACTTGCTTTCTTCCTCCCAGGTGAGCTCGGCGGAAATGATCACCGGCTTTTGCTCCTTGTCATCAAGGAACACGTACTTGAGGTGACGGGGCAGTTCTTTGAGCTCGAATGTGGGAATGGTTCGTGTGGTGGGCTGGTCGGTTTCACATAGGTCAATGGTCGGCTCGTCGTCATCATCGAGATCAGGAAAGTTCCTTTCTTCAAACTCCCGTATGGCCACTGCTTCAATAAAAGGATCAGTTACATCAACAAATGTGCACTCCTCAACAAAATTCACCGAAGATGAGGATGTGGCTTCCCCGACGGAGATAGACACGGACTCGCCCAAGACCATCATCTTGAGGGTCCCGTTCTTCACGTCGATGAGGGTGTTGGTGGTGGCCATGAATGGTCTCCCAAGAAGGATGGTGTGATCCTTCCCGTTCTCGTGCACGTATCCCACATCTAGAATGACAAAGTCTATGGGAACAATAAGCTCCCCCACACGTACAAGCACGTCTTCCACCACCCCCTTGGGATATCGAATAGACCGGTCGGCAAGTTGGAGGCACATACGAGTTGGTCTCAAGTCCCCGAGACCGAGCCGCTGAAAATCGAGAATGGCATAAGGTTGATTCCGGCCCTGAGGTCAAGCATCCCCGAAGTCTTTGAAAAATTTTACATACGACGGCATATTTTTTACCATGTCAAGAAGTGGTAAGTTGACGTTGACTTTGGAAAGCATGTTGTAAAGGTCCCTGAATTGCTTTTCTTGCTTTTCGTCCCGAAGTTGACCCAGAAAAGGGATGCGTGGTTTAAATGGATTCGAGGACTTGTGTAGAATTGAGCCCTCCACCGGCTTTTTTGAATTGGCCTGTGCTCTCCTCAACGTCATCTCCTTTCTCCCTGGGCTGGTTGGTCGGCTCAAGTTCCTCTGTCTCGGGCATTTTCACGTGGTTGTCGACGACTTTTCCACTCCTCAACAC